AATATAATATAATACAATATAATATAATATAATATAATATGTGTATTTGTACAAAATCTCAAAAAAGAAAAAAAGATACCAAAAGTATGGTGGTGAATAAGTTAGATCATCTCAAAGTGTTAAAAACGCGCAGTTTTTAAACATGATCACCCTCAGAGTCTTTTAGTTCTACTTATTCAAAACAAATTTTTAAAATTTTTAATTCTCTGCGGATCTCGTAGGTTTAAAAAAGTGGTGGAACGAGTAATTTGTCAAGTTACATGAAAAACTAGACTAGAAGTAAAAATTAAAGAAATTTTTTCTAAAATGCCTTACTGTCAATCTTTTAAAAAAACTATAGTTCTTAAAAAGTTTGTTTTTGTCTGAGATACTTAAGTTGGAAGCTGATATCTTCATGGTATCATGCGTTCCAACTCAATGAGTTAAACGAGACCACAGGAGATTTTCTTACGGCGCAGCACTTCAATGCTTCTGAAGTAAGAGTATTCTGGTTTTAACTGAAATAATGCTACAATGAAACCTTCTTTAGTTACGCCGACTTTGACAAGTGTTTAGTCAAACTTTTTTTGCTGCTGAGTAATTTGAATAGCATTTTTGAAAGTGTGGTTACTTTTCAACCTGTATCACCTTTCTTTTCCACCTAACTTTTTTGACCGGAATATTTAAAACTCCTCGCTGGTTGTTAATATTCAGTAACGTTTTGGTGTTATGTTCCCTACAGCGCACTAACTTGTAGCCTTGATACAGACTTGACAACGGTGGCTCTAAAGGCCACTTACGACTCATTTGTTTGCAATATACTTTTTCTTGTGGAAAATTCAAATTCTTCAAGTGCATTTAATTTTACAGGCCTGTTTTAGCGTTAGACCGTCTAACTTGTAACAGTATTGCCGCAGATTTATCAGAACGGTGCTCTTTTAGTTTTTGAATGGAAAATGTAGTTGAAGGAACTCATCTACTTTTTCGACCGGGGTGCGTCATAGTAAAATTGTAAGAATTCCTGAGTCTCATTTTCCACTCTACAAATTTTGCATTTGCACCAGAATGGCGCTTTTCAATAGGGATAGAAAAAATTTTTTTGGTGGCATAAGAAGTATAATGAAAATACAAGCAGCAAGAAGCAGCTTAAAAAAGACATTTTCACACTGAATCAAAGATTTTGGCAACTGAGATTTTGGCAACTGGAAACTGAGCCATGTGTTTTAGATACTAGCGCTTTTTATACTTTGAGAAATAAGAAATAAAAAGCTTCCCCAGCACAGCGTTTTCGTGTAAGCTTACCTGTCATAGGCATTCAAAAATTCTGCTGCATTCTATCGCATACTGCTGAAAGGTATAGGCAAAACCATTACTCGCTGTCAATAGACAGCAAAAGTTTCAGATATCCAGGTTAAAAGAGTTCAATGAAGAAGCAATAAAATACAGGTTAAAAAAAAATTAACTATTTTATTTGCACTAGAGCAAAAAATTTTAAAGTAGAAAGTAAAGCATTTTGCATTGATGACACGATACAGTTCGAGCAGGAGCTCTGTCAGATGCAGAGTCGCCAGATACTGCTTCAAGTGAAGGTTTTTTGTAGTTTAATCTCACAAATCTGATATTTTACTTCACTCGAAAGTCTGTCTCGTTTAAAGCCAGAAAAATGATTAAATTCATATGTTGACAAGTTACGTAAAAGATTTAAACAAAAACGAAAATACGAAGCATTATTTCTCAAAAAATTATTTTGTAAATTCTTTTGACAGATATATTTTCTGAAGGCACAATTCTTATATAAAACACTAAAATTACAAGATAGTATATTTATGGTAACATGAGTTATAATGCAACTGGACAGGCAGATTAAACTGCAGAATACTTTCTGTTTACACAAAATTTTGGCGCTTCTTAAAGTATCAATGTTTTGCTTTCAACTAGGAAATTTTTATATCTAAACTTGTTCTAGTTTAGCAGATTAATGACAGATAACAGGTCCATTTTGCAGTTTTCAAAACGGCTGCTGGTTGAGATTTTTAAATCACACAGCAACATCTAAAAGTATCTTCTGTAAACTTACTCTCGCTTCTATTTTCTTCACTGATCATTCTGTACTATCACAAGGAATTTTTCAGTCCAGGTTGCGAAGAAGTGCCATTCTGTTGCAGTTTCGAGGTTTATGAGATAAAAGATGAAGGTCTGTAAGTTTTTGCGATTTTTTAATGGTATGCACTATTTTGTAAAGTAGAAAATCACACTTCAAATCGTAATTTATTTTCAGAAAGCTCAGAGGGCAGTTTAGGAATGGCTGCAGTTGCTGTGCCATGTGTGAAACATTTTGCTACCTTAACAATGCTGTAGAATTGAAGTAAATCTATAAATTTTCCCTTAGATAAAATGTAGTGCACACTAATGGTCGTATTTTGCGACCGTGTCTGATGTTATCCCCCAAATGACATTTTGAAGCGCTATCTTCAGCAAAGACGCAAGTTAATGTATCGTTGGAAGCTAATAGTGAAACAATATTCGCAGTCAATAACCAGTAGTGAGTGAAAAATATTTAGGTTGAACAAGGTTGGTAAAGAAGCAAAGAGATGCAAATTAAGTAACAGTAATGATAGCTTTTTTGAAAAGATCTCAACCAGATCACATAACAAAAAAAATTTTTTTATTTGTTACCT